AGCCAGCAGGTGCAGCCCATGGATGTATAATAAGAACGGTGCAGCCGCTCATCAACAACAACAATAGAACCGGAATCAGAACCTAACGGGACTCCGTAGTTTCCAGAGACCCAGAGATGCACCGACTCCTGCTCGTGTTTGTCGCCGCCTCCGGAGCGTCTGTCCTCGGCCTCCCTGTGGAGGATGTGTCCCCCCCCCTCTGATCCCTGCCTCGCCCCGCTGCAGTGGGAGGGCCGCTGGGTGAGTTTCGACCACAGCACCGGGAGAAACAGCCGGTCCTCGGTGTCCTACGACGGCCTGAAGCAGAGGGTCCGCGTCCTGCAGCAAAACAAGAAGCACACACCCTGCCAGAGGTGACAGACACATGCATGATAGCACAGTCTGTACTTACATATTTTAGATGCTTACACAACTAACCTCATATATTTCTCCTTTAATTAAAAGCAACTGTGCACATTTTGTGTATTTAATGTATATAATACACTATTTATATTAGGCTCTTTATGTAGATTATTCTATTAGAGGGTATTCTGTATATTTGTATGTATATTTTGTTTGTGTTTTATTCTATTTTTAAGAAATGTTGCAATTATTCTACATTGACTTTCAAAACTACTATTTGGGAAAAGTTGTCTATCTATCTATCTATCTATCTTAAGGAATATTATTTATATATTTGTTATATATAGGAACCTATTACACACTGTTACTATTTTATGTTAACACAGATTAATTTGATTCGAATCTAAAACCAAATCAATAACCTAACAACTATATTGGATGGAATAATAATAATAAAAAATAATAAATACTACTACTACATAATAATAATAATTATTATTATTATTATTATAAAAAAATACATATGAATGCATTCATAATAATAAAGTAACAAATATTTAAAAATAAAATAAAAAATACTACTACTATATTATAATAATAACAATAATAGTAATACAAATAATAAAATAATATTAGCAACAAAAAACAAAAATTAATTATAACATTTACAAATAAAAACTACATTCCTACTACTACTAAATAATAAAATAATAATTCTTAGTAATAATAATAAAAATAATAGAAAATAGTATAGTAATAATTTAATTTAATTCAGCTTTAATGTTATTGATGCATTGAACGCACCCCTCTCCCTCTGCTCCAGGATTTTTGAGTATATAATAATAATACAAATAATACTATAAAAAAAATAAAACATTAATTATAAAAAATAACAAATAACAATTACATTCCTACTACTACTAAATAATATTTAAAATAATTGATAGTAATTATAATAATAATACAAAATAGTACTAGTGTTATGTTTCTCCCTCTGCTCCAGGTTCTTTGAGTACATCTTCCTGTACCAGAGCGGGGTGATGTTCCAGATCGACCAGAAGACGAAGGACTGCTCAAAGATCGCTCTGACGGACGCATTCGATCCCTTCGACATCCCCAAAAACTCCACCTTCGAGGACCAGTACCTCATCGGGGGTCCCGGGGACAGCGTGGAGGTCCAGGAGTGGTCCGATAGGAAGCCTGCGCGCCAACGTGAGTCTGGTTTAAGATACATTCTCTCACGTGACGTTTCACACAGAGGTCAAGGAATAGTGGATAGGAAAAGACGATAGGAGCTGATTTTTGGACTATTCCACTGCAACCAGAATATTTATGAGCATTTAAAACTGACTGCCCTCTAGTGGCTGAGACGATAATCGCCACCAAAAAAAATAAACAGTACTTTTTATTTGACTTTTATTTGAAATGCATTAGTACTGTTGAAGTTTACTTGAGTAAATGTACTTAAGAAAAATCGTCCATGTCCACAAACAACAATTCCAGCAGCTGATTTGAAATTGAAGAAAGATTTTAGCAAGGTTTTTCCAGATTTAAACTGCATCTGTTAGTGATAACGGCTGGTCAGAGGTGGGAAGTAATGGAGTACAAATACTTCGTTACTGTACTTAAGTGCAGGTTTCTGGTATCAGTACTTTACTCCACTACTTATTTTTCTGATGACTTTTTACTTTGACTTCTTACATTTTGAACACAAATACCTGTACTTTCTACTTCTTACATTTTGAACCCAAATACCTGTACTTTCTACTTCTTACATGTTGAACACAAATACCTGTACTTTCTACTTCTTACATTTTGAACACAAATACCTGTACTTTCTACTTCTTACATGTTGAACACAAATACCTGTACTTTCTACTTCTTACATGTTGAACCCAAATACCTGTACTTTCTACTTCTTACATGTTGAACACAAATACCTGTACTTTCTACTTCTTACATTTTGAACTCAAATACCTGTACTTTCTACTTCTTACATGTTGAACCCAAATACCTGTACTTTCTACTTCTTACATGTTGAACACAAATACCTGTACTTTCTACTTCTCACATTTTCCAAACAGGCTGGTTCCTTTAGTTTGAATGTGTGTTTGGTGGCGTGATCATTATTATTTAGAGTCATTGCGTGCCTATTGATTTGAACACGATCCGTGTATCCATCACTTCCTGGTCTTCTCTAAAGAAGAGGGACCAATGAAAACGTTGTCATGTTGCCGTTGTTCAGCATGGAAACATTCATTAGCTAACAATGACATTATTGTTCTATTAATATAAAGGGAGGTCAGGTACTCTTTAAAACAGCTGCTATTTATGGGTACTTTTTACTGAAGTACATTTCAAAGCCCTCTTTACTTTTACTTGAGGAAAGAAGTTTAGTCAGTACTTCTACTTTTACCAGAGTATTTTGAAACACGAGTATCTGTACTTCTACTTGAGTAAAGGGTGTGTTTACTTTTGCCATCTCTGCTGCTGGTCTCTCTGCAGATGAGACCTGGGTGGGGGTCTACACCCTGAAGGACTGCTACCCGGTGCAGGAGACCTACGTCAGGAACAGCAGCGTCACCACCTCCACCCGCTTCTTCAACCTGCAGCTGGGCATCAGTGACCCCGACGTCTTCACCCCGCCCTCCACCTGTCAATCAGCCCGGCCCCAGAGGATGTCCGACTCCTCCTGCTCAGCAAACCCTCTCCTCTTGGTTTAGAAACCTTCGGGGTGACTTCGGTGTTTTTCAACCCTGTTTAATCAGGTTTCAGTGAAAAGGTAATAAGGGGGGAGGGTGTTTCTCGGGGGTTAAAATGGGCGTCCACCAATCGATGGATCAGTGCTTTGATCCCCAGTCTCTGTAATCAACATGTCCAAGTGTCCTTAAGCAAGATACTTAACCCTTAATAGGTCCTGCATGTCTGCTGTATAAAAGTGCACCTAAGTCACTCTGCATAAAAGCTAAAATGACTTAAAATATAACCCTTCATCAATGTCCATCCACTAAAGCAGAGGTGGGAGAAGTACTCAGATCTTGTACTTGAGTAAAAGTAGAAGTACTCAGATCTTGTACTTCAGTAAAAGTAGAAGTACCAGAGTGTAGGAATAGTTACAGTGAAAGTCCTGCATTCAAAATGTTCCTCAAGTGAAAGTAGAAAAGTATTATCATCAAAATATAGTTAAAGTAGCGACAGTGAAAGTAGTCATTGAGCAGATTGGTCCATTTCAGAATAATATATATGATATGTTTTATAATTATTGATCATGAAAGTGTTCTCAAAGCTGCAGCTAGTTTGAATGACTTGTCTTTTGAGAAACACGTCACATGACACACTAACAAACAGAGAAGATTTGTAATAATGCAGTCGGCACTTTTTGGACACCGAGGGATAACATTTGCAGCATTTAACTGCAGGATTGAAAAACACTGACGTTCCCCTTAAACAGTTTTCTGATTCTGAAATCACTCCCTATACAAAAGGCACTTAATAGTTTACCCACAGTGAGCACAAAACGTTTTCGATTAACAATGTCCCTTTAACACCAACAGCTTTTCTATCTGTGAAACCTACAGAAGCACATTGCATTGTTTTTTGGCACAATATACTCAACTGTTTAAATCAAAATTACACAGGGAAGTGCACTGTGTAGTAAAGAGGGAGTGATTTTGATGCTTTTGGTGTTTTTTTAACAGTGTTTTATAGAATTGTTTGTTCATGTGTTGCTTTTTTGCTGTAACGAATTAGCCGTTCTAAATGTAACAAAACAACAAACTAGCTCATTGGGATTCTTAAACGATTAGCTTAATGCTAAAAAGGGGACTTTGTCAGCCCTCTTAATGCATCAAATTGATCATATTAATCGACATCTGACAGATATAGCTTTTTGACAACATACTAAGGACTGTTGCTTATGTATTTGCACACGACAGCAGTTTAATGAATTAACATCAAACATATGAAGTGCCTCACAAACATGGACAGGCATTATGGTTTTCAGTTTCTTTGACATATTTAACATTTGCATTTTTTTACGTTTAATATATTGTTTTCCCTAATTACAAACGACTGTATGTGCCGCAGTGGGTGGAAACTCATTGCCACAGCGACTTGTTGCTTATCTGGATATTTTCTATGTTTTATTAATAAAGCAGCTGGCTTGAAACTCGATGCACTCTCCATTCAGATTCTTGTTTATGTCATGTATGAAATGTTTGAAAATGTTTTACCTTATTTAAATCGAGGGATCGGGACTAAATACTAGTTTGATCCTTATAAATAAATATGCGATCTCTATTAGTGGAACAACATCATGCCTCAGAGCTCTGATGTCCAAACCAACAATGAATGCCCTTTCCATAGACAGCTCTTTGCAGCCTTTGTGGATTTTAATTATAACAACAGCTTTATTCATTGATGCCTTACTTGAAATAACCAGAAAAGACTATAAACAATTAAAGAAAACTGGCATCAAGCATCATTAAACCACACATTAGTTAACCTAACTCTGCAAAGGCATATTTTAGAGATAGCTAGTTTTCCATGTTATTAAGGTGGCTCTCTTTTAAAGTAACTTGTTTGCCATGTTTACTTATGCTGCAGACGTAACCCGGTCCGAACCAGATTATGTTAATAGTTTAGGAGTGTAATCGGCTAAACGGGGCTTTTCCCCGACTAATTTCATGGAAAAAAGCACCACTTTATATTCAAAAAGCAAACCCAAAACTTAGCTGACGGAGTCAATTATGCAAACTTGTTTAACGTTGCAGTAATGCCACGAAACAAAGCTTTACAATTACAGTAGCACATGTCTCGCAGTTCTTGAAACAGCAGCCTATATCAGTCTGAAAATCTGAACAAACGTTTATTTGCAAGGTTTTTATTTATCTTACTTGTCTAAGAAATATATTGCTGTTCAATGCAACCCAAAAGCAACCATCTCCAATAACAACAACCTTTAATCAATCTTATCTTCACCTGAACAAGGTCTACTATTGGTTTTAAGGGTGAATGGACAGCCCTGACACCAATGAATACAATGCTGAGATAACCAGCCATTTATAAATACTCACCCTCAGTTTGGGAACCATGATTTAGGGATTGTTAATGTGACATTGATATAAATCTACCGATGTTTAATCAGTTGTATTTGAAAAGTTAGCTGCATCACTTATACTCTTATATTCCTTTCACATAGTTTTCACCATCTTGTATAATACCCTGGAATAAAGACAAGATCATTCAATCTTGTAAAAACCTTTATTGATTCTTCATTTTTTTCACACAACCTATCAGTAAAGTCAAGATTATAAAGAATTATATCTGATCTCAGGTTAGAAATACCAACACAACCAACTCTCAGCTACAAACATGGAGACAAAATGAGTTAAAGAAGTTAATCTCAACATTTAACCCAATGCCCCTTGAATTTCTTCTGTCTAGTTAAGTCTACAGAACTCAGCATAGTCTCCAAAGTTGTCATAAAAGCAAACTCCAGCGTAGAGAGGCTCAGTGAAGGTGGTCTGGACTCTGTGGAGGAGGGTCATGGTTTCACTGGAGACGCTGTAGAAAGACAGAACCCCTGCACTGTGATCCAAGTAAACTCCTATCCTGTTGGAACGAGCACCTGAGAGGGGAGTTTCCACGTTATTAAACCAAAAGGAAAAATAGTGGTTCTCACATCTCAAACTCCAAGATCTGTCTGTGAATCCTAATCCAATTTCATCCTCGTTCATGTTGACACTTTTGTATGTGAGGGCCAAATCCAGTTGATACCCTCTCCACTCGATCTCCAGGTAACATCGTCCAATCAGAGCCTCTCTACTCAGGACCTTAGGCCAGATATCTAATCCATCAGGGTGACTGAAATATATCTGTTTTCGTTTTGTGACTGTGACTTTCCTGTTCTCCAAAGACAAGGACAGCCCTTTGGTTGCTGTGTTTGGATCCAGTGTGATTTCACGTGAATATTTAGAGAATTCAGCTCTGGTTTTGGGCTCGGTTTGTGACAATAAAGCATCAACTTCCTCCACCTCCTGTTGAAGCAGCTTCACATCTTCCTCTCGGTCCTGGATCCTCTGCTGTCGATTCACATTGAGCTCTTTTTGCTTCATTTCAACACGAAGCAGTCCAGTCTTCTTCAGCTGCTCCACCAGGAATGCTAACATGGTGTTTTTAACCAGGTCAGGTCTGGGTGTGAAGGCCTTCCTACACTGAGGACAGCTCTCCTTTTCATTCTGTTTCTCTCCATCCCAGTAGTGTTTAATACAGCCCATGCAGTAGCTGTGTCCACAGGGAATAGTGACCGGATCCTTCATCACATCCAGACATATCGAACAGGAAATGAATTCCAAATCCAGCTGAGCTCCTTTCTGAGACATTTCTCCTTGTAGCTGTGACAGAGAGTTTCTGAGATCAGATAAATCTGTGCTCTGCCTCAAAAACAAACTCTAGTCCTTCTGTTTCTGTTTATTTGCTAATTTACACCAATGGGGATTGTCAGCTTGGTCACACCCAACTTCACACTTGCATATCAGTGAGGGGGAGGGGAGCTGGCTGGCTGGGTTTAAGAATAGAAGTGTTTGGCTGTGTTTGTAAAATATGTTCTTATTGTGTTTTTTAAAGTTTGTTGAGTTGGCTCACATGGATATAGTTAATAAACGTACATGTTCACCTGTGTGAGGAAGAGACGGTGATTGGGTTTCTGTATCTTCGTTGACCGCCAATTTCATTGTGTTTGGGTCATAATCGTGTGCATGATATAATTAGTTAATTATTTCTTACTAAATAAGATTAGTTCAATGTATTTTGGATATCAGCTAACTGCCAATCACACTGGCCTCAGCTTCTCAGCAAATGTTTGTTTTCCAAAGCCGATCCAACTGGTTCAGCAAAGTCAGTGAAAGAAGTTGAGAAACTCCAACAGCATTTCTCAACAAACGACAGTTGAGTGATCTGGATAGAAACCAACACATTTACATCTGTTTTATTCATAACGTCAAGAGTTTAGATAGCTAGCATAGTATCACAGCAACGAAAAATAAGGTTGGAAAAGTTTGGGAAGTGAGGACAAGTTTGAAGAGACAAATAACTGGTTTAGCGAGGCAGTGAGAGACGCTGAACGACTCTAAGGCCCCGGCTCCACGAGGACGGAAACTGGTTGAATCCGCATATTTCTCATGCGTATAGCCCTCTAAGCTCCACGACGCCGTAAGGGAAACGTAGAAACAGACCCCGCAAACGACAACGGGTCCAAAGGTGGATAGATCTGGGAACTGAGCGCTCTGGGGGGTCCAACGGGGCCGTGGAGTCGCCTATACGGTCATTCGTTTTCATAGCCCCGCCTCTCCCTGCCTCTCCCCGCGGGGTTGCTATCGTGCTCCAGTCGCTACTGACCATGCTACAGTTCTTTGTGCAACATCTACAGGAGCTCCTCCTTGAATTCAGATTATTTATCTTTATCTCGATATGGACATAAACGCGAGTGAAGTCTAATCTGACAGGACGGAGACACGCAGCTCCTGCCGCTGTGATGCAGCGGGAGCAAAACACACACTTCAAGTCAGATCATCACCCTTAGCTATTTTAATTACCTCTCAAACTACCTAAACTAGTTATAAATATGTTCATTTTTACTGTCGGGTCACTCATTACAGGATCAGCTGCTGCATGAGACAGACACTGACGCTGTCAGCAGAGAGGAAAAAGAGATGTATTTGATGATTATATATCATTATATCGTCGTTATTCATTTGTTTTAAAGCTCAATAAATAACAATGAAGACCTTTGACCGGCACTTTTATAATTTTGTCCGGAAGATTTAAACTTTAACACACGCTGACCGGCGAAAAACTCTGCCCGGTTCTGTCGGCCCCCACCGCGGAGAATACACAGAAGTGCAGCCATGACAACCATTCTTCTTCGCTGCTTTTGTGGAGGAAGTTGCTGCTTTTGTGGAGGAAGTTACAGCGCCACGTACAGGTTCGGCATATGTACTGCAGCTTTTCCAGCGTTTGGATGTAAACGGAGCCGTCTCGTGGAGCTTGACACAATCCGGTGTATATTGCGTGGGGACGGAAGGTTTTTTGCGGTTGCATTTGCGTTACTCCGATGCGTTTTGCCGTATTTGTCCTCGTGGAGCCGGGGCCTAAAGAAACTCCAGCACAGTTCTCAGTAAACGACTCCTCTTCTGTCTGAAAGGGTCTCAGATTGATCACCAATAACAAACCTAAAGCTCCAATCCAATAACGACTAGAGCCGGTCCGACGACCTGAAATAAATCTACGTCCGTTTTGAAAGACAATGGGACGGTTCTGGTACCCATTAAGACTTTTCTTTATTATGGAGAGAGTCGTTAACAGGCTGTGTTGAACAGACTTAAATACAAATAACTTTACAAATGCCACATGAGTCATCAATTCGTATCAATTCGAAAAAGCAGCAGACCCTCTGCTTGTTGCTGGGCAGGTTTTGTACAGTAGCTTCTGTCTTACAACTGGATGTAGACTTGTTATACTGCTTACTAAAAAAACACTTGTAGGTACACCATGAACTCCATTTATCGTTTATGCACACATTAATGGAGTGTCTGATCACTGAGAGTTATTGTTATTGAGTATACCATCAGGGGGCTTTGGCATAATGGAAATGCATTGGCTAGATTTTCCTTTTCTTGCAGACTTTCTCATACATTTTCTTCATTAACAGTGTGGGGGACATGTGAGAAACAGTTACAGACACACTGTTGGAATTTGAAACATGTTTATTCAATAATTTTTTATTTTGTAATGATCAAACACACAGTGAAATCCAAATCACTTCTCTGGGGAAGCACAGCAAGCAGCTTTACATGTGACACTGCTTCACTGACAAATCACCCATAAATATCATTAAGACTCAAAGTCAACTTTAATATCAATATCTGTGTGTTTGTTGTACAAACAGGGACACCATAATGCTGTGTCCCACCGTCCCAAAGATACTAATATATGAATATATGTGTACATAAATACATACACAAAATACAAATCAAAAAAAGGCACAACAATAAATATATAAAAGTAGCAGTCTGGTAGACAAAAATGGATGCATATATGGCAATGAATGAATATGTATGACAACAGTACACAGTAGAGAAATAACTGTCAATAGCAGCTAGTAGAAAAAAAGTGTCTGCTGCTGAATGTGTGTGCAATGAATCTCAATGAGAAAGATTGAAATGTAGATATTAAATGACAAACTTTAGAGCTGTTGTATCAGTGTCAACTTTAAAGCACATGACTTAATCAACAAATAGCACACATGTTGAAAGAATCAGCCCTACTGAGATATATACTTTTATTGTTATATGCACAGCTACAGTGTAGATATGTAAAGACAATATTTAAGTCCAAGGCTTCTCCAACAATGCAACATAAATATAGGACATAAAACAATAAAATAGTGCAAGAAACAGAGTACAATAAAATAGTGATTGCTATCGTGCAAGAATAATGGATTTATGATATATATGAAAAATAAGTCTCCAGTGACCTTTGATTTATTTGCTTTCATATGCAAAAGAACATGCTTTTTACAGAGAATATGTTGTATTGATTTTATTGAATTGATATAAAACATACAGATTAAAGAGCATAAACCAGATATCTTCTGTCTATTTCTGATTGTTTATAAATTAATGTTTCATTTTCAAATTTAGATCAGGGGAGGAGCCACCTGAACACAAGTCATTGAACATTAACCATTGCTTTGTCGCCGGGGCGACGGAGTCTGATACTGGAAGACCAGAAACCCCTAAGGACCCCTGGTGACATAACTGATGTAAAAGGTATATATCAATGAGTTAGTTTTAAATGTTTAATGTATGGCCATCTGTTTGAAGCTAAACATAGGCCTACTGCTAATGAAACTTAAATAAATCTTACATTCTGTTTTAATTTCTCATCAATACAATATTAATGTATACTTACAAGGTGTTCTGTTAACTGAGGTTCAGAGGATGAATATATTTAAACTAAGAGATGATCTAAGAAATTGTTGTGGCGATCCAGCATAACACAACAGGAAAGAATGAAACAGAGAGGAATCAATAAAACACAAACACAGATATAGCTGATCAGTAATTATTATTTAGTTGTTGCAACAAACAAACAATAATGGGAATTACATCACCTGCTGCCACAGCAGCCAATCGCGGAAATGCCCCCCATCAGTAGCAACAATCATACAGCATATATAGCCACTGCAATGAGCACACACACATTTTCCCTAAACATGTTTAACGCACACACATTTTATCATGCAGCCTACCACACAAATGTCACATGTTTTTCTCTCTGAAAGCTATACTTGTATATGTTTAAACGTCATCATCTCATGACATCCTTAGGAGTAGTTAACTAACAAAGGTTAACTGTTTTTATAACCTGAGGCCTTCTCTGAACTTCCTCTAACCTCGGTGTCAGCTCACTTAAAATGAATACATCTATTGATAATTCAGAACGACCATTGTCTCTCTAACTGTGTGTGACCCAACTCAGTAACACATCATATAGCTTAGCATGTGATCTTTAATGAATATCAGAAATACGCTGTATTAAACATTCTGCTATAACAAAATCATTCAAAAATCCCTTTTAGCAAGTTACTTTGAAATGTGAATAAACATATTCTTTCAACACTCTTTTAGGAATGCAACATACAAACCCGTTGTAAAAAAAAATTGTCAAAGTATTGATTTTGTGTTTCATACTGTTACTGCTACTGTTGTTCTTGAAAATACTTCATCTGCAATGTATTTTTGGGCCGTAAATCAATATACCTATGTTATTATAATGTAATTTTAAGTTTGCAAATCTTTATTTATCATTTTTTTTAAATGTACATGTTTTCAGTTCAAACTTAAACGCATACTATCCACCTGAGTGGACATATAAAAATGTATTTGAAAAAACTAGATACAAAAAAAACTAAAGTTCAAATCTTGTTTTTCCCAAGAGCAATACAAACACTTGGTAAAAAAATCCTGACTGAGGTTTTCATAATTTACGCATGAAAGGGTTAACATATCAACAATTATACATACACTAAAACAGTGGTTCTCAACTGGTGGGTCGCGACCCAAAAGTGGGTCGTGGACCCTTTTCGAGTGGGTCGCAGATGTGTGAGTGAAGAAATTAAAAATACATTTGTTGTTGAAAAAAGTCAAACTTTTATTTCGATTTTCTAACGCTATATATGCATGCAGTTCGACTGGAAGTACCGGAGACCATAAACGGTTTTGAAAACTTCTGTCACGTAGTGATCATCTTCTGAATAAAACATCTTTGTTGATGTTTTTTCGAGTATTCTGGCCAATCAGAATCAAGATTGTTGCCGGAAGTCACCACGGAGAATAACTTTGCGGTAGAACTATTCTTTATACATCCATGGGTACAACTTCAGATAAAAATGAACACATAATGAAATATGACCCCTGGTTTGATGATTGACAGGTCACAGAACAATGGGAGCTATCTACCCTTACCCACAATTTAAAGTAAGTCACACAGACTGTGGCTGAAGTCGAATAGTCCATTTAGCTTAGGAACCTTCCTAACGGAGTGAAATGACCCGGAAGTCCCTCAGTGGCAGCCATGATAAGTGCCGTTCGAATTGTCTAGTCTAGATGATAGGAAAGGAGGTTTCAAACTTCCTTTACAACCTCCTTTAGCCTAGGAACCACTGGACCTCCCTTGACGAAAGGAGAGGAGAAAATGCTGCCCCACAATGCCTTGTCACACAACAGTCGGCCGTTCACGGAAACAACCGATTATGATCGAGAAATGATATCATGAAAGTTACGGTGCTTATTAAGCATTTTAAAACGTATGTGGTAAGTTGCCAAAGTACTTTGTTTTGAACGTTCATCAGTATTATAATCAAAAAGAGACATTTGAACGTTAGTTTTTACTGAAATGATCAAATAAAGTCAACATTTCACAGTGTTTACTGAGCTGTGTGGGGTTTGTTCAACTTTTAAAAGATGTTTGAATGGTGATACACAGTGATAGATGTTAAGGACTAATGTTTATAATAAATACATTTGTATTGATTTTAAGATCTTTTCATACAATCATACGTATTGGGATCATTTGTATTAATGTGGACCGGAGGGAGAGGGTGACGAGCATAAGTTTCACTTTCCTTTTTTATTTCAATTCCAACTTTGGTCATGAAGAATATGTTTCTCTGTTGTCCCCGTTCATAAAGCATAAAACAACAGCATCAGAGCACGGTGCAGAGTCTCTAGATGAGTTTACAGTAGTCCCTCGTTCTTATTAAACATCCATGTTGTAGTCCGCTGTATAGAAAACTGTAGTTTCCATAGTTTCCCCACAGCAGCAGACGCACATTTATGACCTCCGCTGGCGCATCATAAACACGTCGGATAGTGAAAGTGCAGTCGGATTCTCTCTAAAGTACCGCAGTCTCTTCTCCTAAATCCTTTTGAATTCTCCTATCCACTATCCCTTAACCCCATGACGTTTCACTCAGAGGTCAAGGAATAGAAGATAGGGTTAGACGTTAGGAGCTGATTTTTGGATTATCCGACCGCAACCTATCTCCTCTTTACTCTTCTCTCTGTGTGGAGCAGCAAGCTGTCAGAACAAAGTGAAAAACAAACAATGGCTTAAAATATTATTAATATAGTAATAGTATTTATTTATTTTCTTCTCAGAGTGTACCAGAATGCGTAGTTTATATGTAAGTATTTCTAAAAATCTCCCCAGACCCCCTGCTGGGGTTGAGTTTTCAGCATGTCACATTTTTCACGTGTGGTGAATTTACAGGATTGGCTTCAATTCTGCCATTTTATTTTTATTTTAAAAGCATACTTTAGTTCTGTGAAGGGGTATAAGGGATATATGCACTGTACTTCACTTTAATTAATAATGTATGCTGAAAAGCGTATATATTACGCAATTTATTGACCAAGGAAAAAAGTAGGTCCCGAGGCCTGACCAGTTGAGAACCACTGCACTAAAACATACAATACATGATTATGCTAATTGTTGTGTTCATCAAAAAAAGCAGAGGGAATATGGTTGATGCCATTAAATCAAGACAAATACAATATGTTTATAAAGGTAAAACATTAATTTGATCAATCAAAATTGCAATGATGTGCTCTGTGAAAATAAATGTTTTCAGACAGTTGTGTTGTGTTGGATTCTCATGTTTATAATAAGAAAACTGTGTCCAATAGTTAACTGCTGGAAGGTCTGGCCTCTCCTGAATACATATATAGCTCAGATAGGACAAATCAATGTCTTACATAGTCATTTCATTTAAACAGGATTCGAGTGGATATAAATAAGCCCTTCTTCTTTATGTTAAAGTGTGACAATACATTGATTGCAATTCAGACAACCAATAACAATGTTCTGAGAAATCCCTTTCCTAACTATTGAAATACATTTGGACTTAATTATTAATTGATGGTATTTATTTGAGGGCTTTCCAAAGTCCTCAAAGCACCTTACATTAGCTAATATTAGACATGTTATACACTGATTACTGTGGACAATACCCAGTGGCTGACTTGTGTCAAAACCCCATGTGGTATTTAGAACATAGAATTGATTTGTACATCTTGGATGTCAGATAAACAACATTGTCCATTAAGTGAAATTTTTTTAATATCAAGAGTTTTGGAGATGGAATTTAGGTTGATATGTTAATCAACTGAAAAATGTGTGATATAGACATTATCGAAAGGAAACAAGACTCTTTTAAGTAATTTGGGTGGCTCTTAAAAGAGCCGTTGTTTTTCCAGGTATGTCAGGGTGTAGATGTTTAACCTCCGAAGCCGTACAGAGTGCGGCCCTGCCTCTTCAGGGCATACACCACATCCATGGCGGTCACAGTCTTTCTCTTGGCGTGCTCGGTGTAGGTGACGGCATCACGGATCACATTCTCAAGGAAGACCTTCAACACCCCACGGGTCTCCTCGTAGATCAGACCGGAGATACGCTTCACTCCGCCACGGCGAGCCAGACGGCGGATAGCGGGCTTGGTGATGCCCTGGATGTTATCACGGAGCACTTTGCGGTGACGCTTGGCGCCTCCTTTGCCGAGTCCCTTTCCTCCTTTTCCTCTTCCACTCATTTTCAGGTATCGTTATGTCGGCTCGTACAGAACGAATGAGTAGAAGCAGTGTGACCGGCAGTATTTAAATATTCACTGCGGACCTAAGAGAAGACGGAGAGCGGGAAAGCTGCTAGGCGGGGCCAACGCTGTGGCCTCCATCTAGCCTTATCTTTCAACACATTTAAGTCTTCCTTTAAATATTGTTTATATAATTCAGTCAGGCTTTATACTAAGCGTTTGATGATTAAACGTTTGTTAATATGTAATAAAACCCTCACATGCTTAATAACATTTATAATTGAAATAAGACCCTTTCTGAGATTAACATTACATTTAAAGTTGATTAAAGTATTCAAAAAATACTCAGAGGATGAAAGCTGAAGTTACGGGCTGCATGAGCAGATACCTCTTGTCCCACAGAGCCTCTTCATCTTACCTGCTTGTTGCGTATCACAGGAATGAAATGACCAGCCATCCAAACTACACATATTTGAAGCTTTGGCTTTGCAGCCAGGTGCAAAGAAGAAGTGCATGTATGACTGTGTATGTCTGTTTGCTAAAGAGACATTATCAAAGGACTTTGAAGTTCCAAACAATTCAAAACATCGAGGTCAAGGTGGGTCAAGATCATACATCTGTTTACCTCAAATGAAACAGCACAAATGAAAAACAAAATGCCATGAGAGCACACTTACTTCTCATTCTCACACACACACTCACTCACACACATACAAGGTATAAGGAAGTTTAATATGCACGAGTGTGTATGAGTTTGGGAATGAGGGAGGGAGAGAAAAAGAGACAGAGAGAGAAAGCGCGACTTGCTGTAAACCAAATCTACTATATATTTTTCATAGAAAACGCAAATTCATGGTTTCAAACTGGAAGTTAAAGGGTTAAAATCCTGAAAATAATTTAATATTTTGTATTTTTGATCAGGACTGAAGTTGATTGAAAGATTTAACCCCAAAAAGTTAAAAAAATATTAATCTGTTATAATTTTAGAGCAGTTTTTGGAAGTGGACATTTTTGTCCCGAATGAGTAATGTGAGAGTTTTTTTGTTTAATCTGATTTTGTGCAAAAACTAATAATGCACACAAATCAATTTTGTTGCTAATCTTTGACACATCCAAGACTGTTATAACAATAAAAGAGCCAGTCCCCAGATATGTATTACATGAAAAACAACAGCGATTTCATGTATTCAAAATGCCATTTAAAGGGTTAAAATCCTGAAAATGATTCAATATTTTGTATTTTTGATTAGGGCTGAAGATGCTTTAAAGATTAAACCCAAAAATGTGGTGAAGAAAATATTTTAATATAATGTTTTTATCAGTCTTTTGCAGTGGACATTTGTCCCGAATGACTCATTTGCGTATTCCAATCGAATGATAGCCGTGGGTTAAGTATGTATTTATGTGTACATTTTTTAATGTATGTCTAATATGTATTGACAAAACAATTTAAAGAAAGTTTTAAACTAAAAAAGTAAAATCTTCTAATTGACGTGGTGTATAAAAGGTTGCCTAGCGTTGTCTGGCATGACACCCAAAAAAAGTGATATTATTGGGCTTGACCAGAATAAAAAAAGCAATTGATAATCTTTCCAGGGTCAATGATGAAAGCTTACGGCTTTCCTGATGCTGATATTAAATATTAAAATGACCACGTGTTGTGTCCTGTTGTAGCCAGAGGGTGCTGTTGGACAGATATATTGCATTGAGATGAAAAATAAAGAGGAAGTAAAGCACGGCATGTCTCTATGGCTACTAATTTGTATTTACACTGAAAAGAAACACCTCGTTTTTAAATGATGCAAAAGTTGTGTTTGCCTGAGCCATTGTGGAAAGTGGTTTGTAAACAAGGCCTCTTTGAACTGTTTACGTATCAAATATGTATTTCATGTCAAGTGATTTATATATCATGTATGTGATCCATGGATCGTGCATGACACTAAACAAAGGAAAACGTCTATAGATGTAGTGGGTGGCTCTTAAAAGAGCCTTTGTGTTGTTGGTATATCAGCAGCAGTTTACTTGGAGCTGGTGTACTTGGTCACGGCCTTGGTGCCCTCAGACACGGCGTGTTTAGCCAGCTCTCCGGGCAGCAGCAAGCGGACAGCGGTCTGGATCTCCCTGGAGGTGATGGTGCGGCGCTTGTTGTAGTGAGCCAGGCGAGAGGCCTCACCGGCGATGCGCTCAAAGATGTCGCTCACGAAGCAGTTCATGATACCCATGGCCTTGGAGGAGATGCCGGTGTCGGGGTGGACCTGCTTCATCACCTTGTAGACGTAGATGGCGTAGCTCTCCTTCCTGGACTTTCTCCTCTTCTTTCCAGTCTTGCTGACGCTCTTAGCGACGGCTTTCTTTGAGCCCTTCTTGGCCGCTTTAACTGGGGGTGCGTCGGCAGGCATGATTAGAGAGTGAGGTTTGTCAGACTCGGTGCCTCACAGACACAGCGCGGTCTATTTATATCCCCTCGATGCAAATATAGCTGTGCTGTTGCTCGCACGGGATTGGTTATCGTCTGCGCATGACTGAGCCTACGATGTACTTTGATCAGATGTATCTACTGTATTGGATTGTAAGAAGGGGAAACAAGTATTTAATGTTTTGAAAGATAATGTGGAGGCTGCAGCGTTGGCCCCGCCTAGCAGCTTTCCCGCTCTCCGTCTTCTCTTAGGTCCGCAGTGAATATTTAAATACTGCCGGTCACACTGCTTCTATCCATTCGTTCTGTACGAGCCGACATATCAATACTCGAAAATGAGTGGTAGAGGAAAAGGAGGAAAGGGACTCGGACTCTTTCTTCTTAACGTCGAAGAACAATAACATAGAAAATGTCTGGTCGAGGCAAAGGTGCGTTCTGAACGACCCGACTCATCAAGACTTGAGAATGAGTGGAAATGTCAGGAAGAGACAAGACCGGAGTCTCGAAGAACAATAACATAGAAAATGTCTGGTCGCGGAAAAGGTGTTTTCTGCTAACCTAAACAGAAAATGTCAGGAAGAGACAAGACCGGAGTCTCGAAGAACATTAACATAGCAAATGTCTGGTCGCGGAAAAGGTGCAGGTGCTGGAAAATGCCCGTAACTATAGTTGACCGTTTTGAAGTTTCGTTCTGAACGACCCGTCCCAACAGACTCAAAATGACTCGAAGAGGAAAGGAAGGAGGTGAAAAAGGGTGAAAAAATACAAAAAGAAAAAAAAATATATATACAAAAAAAAAAAAATGTCTCTCCCTGGAAGCGTGCCATCTTTTGCTTCAAAATTTGGACAGTTTTGGGTTCGCCTGAACTTCACAGGCTCAGGAGAACCCCCTAGTCGTGAATATGTTGGAGAATCACTGTTATTTGATACCTGCTGGATCAACACAAATGATGTATATTCCTTCATAGCACTGCCAAACAGAAAGGAGTTTGAACTCTGCTTTTTGCTAGAAACTCCACTGAGACGTTTCCTTGACGTTCTCACAACTAAATCCTCAGATCCCAAGTGGAAAGACTGGACTTTCGAATCTTCCATTCAAATGGACATCTCAAACATCATTGTTAAATTCTGGACTGGCCGTATTCCAGACCATGATGTTGAGACCTATTTGAAGAGATATGGAAATATAATCAGCAAATACAAACCAGTAGATAAATTCGGGATATGGTATGGAGTGAGAAAATACAAAATTAAGATGAATCGAAACAGTGATGGTGAGATCCAAAATCTCCCAAATTCGATATCTCTCGGCCCCTATAATGGCAGAATAATTTATCCAGGGCAATCCGTCACCTGTTTCATCTGCAACTCAGCTGACCATCAGGTCAGAAAATGCACCACAGTGAAATGTTGGAGATGCAATGAACTGGGCCACAAGGCTAAAGATTGCGATTCAGACAGTCTCTGCAACCTGTGTGGAAAGATTGGACACAACTTCTTCAACTGCCCATCTTCTTATGTAAACAAGGCAAAAACCCAGCAGCAGCCTCGTCCTGCAGCCCAAATGCAGCCTGGCCCTCCTTCAGTTACCCAGCATCAGCCTGGTCCTCCTTCAGTCACCCAGCAGCAGCCCCTCCCTGCAGCCCAGCAGCAGCCCGGTCCTGGTCCTTCAGCCCAGCAGCCCGGACCCGGTCCTCGTCCTGCAACCCAGCAGCAGCCCGGTCCCGGTCCTTCAGCCCACCAGCCCGGTCCCGGCCCTCGACCTGCAACCCAGCAGCAGCCCGGTCCCGGTTTTTCAGCCCATCAGCCCGGTCCCGGCCCTCGACCTGCAGCCCAGCAGCAGCCTGGTCCTCGTCCTTCAGCCCAGCAGCCCGGTCCCGGTCCTGGTCCTTCAGCCCAGCAGCAGCCCGGTCCCGGTCCTAGACCTGCAACCCAGCAGCAGCCTGGTCCTCGTCCTTCAGCCCAGCAGCCCAGTCCCGGTCCTGGTCCTTCAGCCCAGCAGCAGCCTGGTCCCGGTCCTCGTACTTCAGCCCAGCAGCCCGGTCCCGGTCCTTCAGCCCAGCAGCAGCCTGGTCCTCGTCCTTCAGCCCAGCAGCCCGGTCCCGGTCCTGGTCCTTCTGCCCAGCAGCAGCCCGGTCCCGGTCCTAGACCTGCAATCCAGCAGCAGCCTGGTCCTTGTCCTTCAGCCCAGCAGCCCGGTCCCGGTCCTGGTCCTTCAGTCCAGCAGCAGCCTGGTCCTGGTCCTCGTACTTCAGCCCAGCAGCCCGGTCCCGGTCCTTCAGCCCAGCAGCAGCCTGGTCCTCGTCCTTCAGCCCAGCAGCAGCCTGGTCCTGGTCCTCGTCCTTCAGCCCAGCATCAGCCTGGTCCTGGTCCTCGTCCTTCAGCCCAGCAGCAGCCTGATCGTCGTCCTGCCAGCAAGGATGTCCCTCTCCCTGATGATCAACAGTCTTCATCTCCTGAAGACGACTCTCCACCCCTGTCAGGTGAGGGCAGACTGACCATTGACAGTGATGTTGAGAGTGAGTGCAGCTCTGACAGTGAGATTGAAGATGATCAATACTATGAGAGTGTTAGCGAAAGCCCAGCATCTGACTCTAGCCC